CCCACAGCATCCAGCCTCGAGCTTGCCCTCCCCTGAAGCATTCTCCTTCCAGAGACCCAACCACTTGTGGCTCACTCCCTCATCTGCAGGTCTCTCCTGACGTCTCACCTCACCCAGCCTCCCCTCAACACGTACACGTTAAGCTGTCCCCTGTCTGCACCGTGGCCATTCCTGTCTGCCTTCCCATCTGATACTCTATGGATTTGGGGAAAGTACATGTATATTGTCACCACTTATCTGAAAATGCGGCATGTTTTATTTCTTTGTCTCCCGCTTCGCTAATGCTCCTCTAGAACTCGAGCTCTGTGGGCTGGGGCCTTGTTTTTCGGTTCACTGTGGTGTTTCTGTGCTTAGAACAGTGCCTGGCACATAGGCGTCGTTGGAGACTTGCTGAGTGAGGGGGTGAAGGAGGGTGAGACTGGAGCTGTGGTGACTGCAGCTTGCCCGGGGACTCGGCGAGCTCCACAGAGGAAGAGGTAGATGCTGACATTCTTCATTCCGGGAACCCTTCCCCTTACCTTACACACGTCCTCGCCCCGAGGACTGGAGGAATTCCCTGATTGTGGATCTCTTATCTCTACACTTGCTGTTCCTAGTAGTTTACGTTCCTCTTTTTCCTTTGGTCTAAGCTTACTAGAAGGTGTGCCATAATGGTTTTTTCCTCAAAACTTCTGGTTTGATCCTGACCTTGAGGGTATAGAAAACAACTTAGAAGTTCATTTTATAAATTTTATGTGTATGTATGTTTGTGTATAAATATATAAATTATATACACATAAGTAAATACATGTATTTTAAGCAAGCAAAAATTCTTTTGCATGCATTTAAATGGATTTGTGCAGGACTTGGCATCAGGTCATGAATAATAGCTCCTTGGGGAAAGAAATGATTACTGTTGCCTGTTGCTCTTGCCATTCATAGCCACAGGCAGGTATGAGGTAAGGATCTTCAGAGCTGTGATGTCGGGTCAGGCTGGATATGAGGAGAGAAGGTGGAGTGGTCAGCCCTTCCCTTCCTTTGTGGGTGAAAGTTACTCAGAGAGGAATTGCTCAGTGGGGACGCAATAAGTATTTTCCCTCCAGAGTTACACTCAGACTGGTGGGGCTGCGTATTTACACCAAATTTCTAAACCAGTGATTTTCAGCTGGTGTGCTGAATTTTTAAAACATTCAACACCTACTTAGTCAGGGGCACTGACCTCTTTTCCCTTAGATTATCAAATAAAACATGACAACAGCCAACACAACAATAGCCATCTGGTGTGGATGCCCTGTCTTGAACCATGAATATATGGGTCATATAACAGAGTTGCATCCTATTGATCACTTCGCATAAGGTTGCATCTGAATGGTTAATTCTTGGTACCAGCAATCCTTATATACAAGTTTAGGTAATTGATTTTTAAAAAGGTCACTTTGGAGCAAAAAGGGTAGGTAATTACTATTATTAATTTTTTGTATATCAATTAAAATTATACCTGCTTTTTGTCAGATCGGCAAAAAATATGATGGATGTTCTGCAGGATTTTAGTAATTAGTTTATATGTGCCATGAGATGAAAAAGGTTGAAAATCGCTGTTCTAAAGAAATCATAAAACCGATAGGAGTCTGCGGAGGGTGAGGCTCTGGTATACTATGCTGGAAGCAGGGAGTGATAGAGCTCAGCGATAAGCTTCAAAAGCGGTGGAGGAGGTATTTCTTGGAAAATGCCAGCAGTGGTCTCCATGAATGGGTTCTTTTTATGAAAGCCAGAACAAAATACTCCACGAGTTTTGCTCTAGGGTAAGGATAATATTTCTCTCTCCTGAGCCTTCCTCATTACTGTTCACCTCTGAAGTTTCGTAAATGGATCCATCACTTCCGAAAAAGGCAAGGTCAGTTTGTGTGTGTGTCCATGATAGAAGCATATGTCCCTCTTGGCCTCAGACAGTGAAACAGCGCATCTTTGTGCCTCTTCGGCTCTGTAGCTCCTGCTGGGGCTGCTCTCTCAGAAGCTGGAGACTGTTTTCAGCTGCCTGGTGGGCTTGTCCAAGATGGATTTCTGCTAACACTTCTAACTCAGTGTGTCAGAAGCAGACTTATCACCCTCACCTCCACCTGTACCTCTTCTGTCTTTCCCAGTTGGGTTAATGGTGCCCCTGTCCTTTAGTCACCCAGCTTAAGTGATTGTGACTGTTCTTACATCTCCTGCTCCCCACCCTCAGTTGCCTGCCGGGTGCTTAAGGTTCAACTGTTACTTGTCTTGGCAGTCTTAGAAATTTCCTTTCTCACTGATACATGCTGTAACATGGATGAACCTCAAAAATAGGCTAAGTAAAAGAAGTCAGACATACTGTATGATTTTATTTATAGGAAATAATCCAGACTAGGTAAATCCATAGAGTCAGAAAAAGGTTAGTTGTTTCCAGGGCCTGAGGAGAAGGAAGAAAGGGGACCAACTGCCTAATGGGTGTGGAGTTCCCTTTTGAATAATGAAAATGGAGCTAGACAGAGGTGAGGGTTTCACAACACTGTGAGTGTACTGAGTGCCACTGAGTCTTATACTTTATAACGGTTAATTTTAACCTTAATGAAAACTTTTTACTTTCTCTATTCTGTCTGTTATGATGGGGCGTTTTCTGCATCCCCACCTGTTACTGGTGGAAGTGGAGTTCTTGGGGTGCTGCAGGAACACGAATTTCCGGAGGTTCCCACAGGAGGATGAGGTATTGTGGAAAGCTTTATTGATGAGGTAACCTTAAGGGAGTTCCCCTGCAAGGCTCCATCTCCCTCCAGCCAACCATGGAAAAAGTCCTGTTTTGTCTTCAGCAGGGCTAGGATCAAAGCCACTGCCTGGAGTTTCCATTCCATATTAAAGCACAGTCTAGTCTAGCATCAGGCTCGCTTAGCTTGAGCTCCCAGCTGCAGTCCATTGTGTGTGGGTCCGAATGGGCATGCGGCTTCTAGGGCCACATAACAGGCTAGCTGGGGTCACAGAGTAGCTCGGGTCACAGAGTGCAAGGAAGTAGGAGCAAAGCAGGAGGAACAAGAGAGTGAGAACTCTTTGTCTCAGGATTATAACCAGGGGCTTAACCACTAAGCCTTCAGGATTTCACAGCTTGCAGTGGCTCTGCCCCTCTTGCCAATTCACGGCTCCCCAGGCTAGACTGACAGGAAAGCACCCTTCCTATGTCACCTCAACTTCACTGCGCATGCACCCATCTTCCCCTTTGTTGGATCCCTTCCCCCAGTGATCTGCAGGGAATGGACCAGTGGTTCCCTAGGGAATCGGAAGCTTGCAGCTTCCTGATGAAGCTGCCCAGATGGCCATGCTTATTATGTCTGGCCTTCCATTTGCTTCATTCTATTATTAATATTAACTAGCTAGTTACAATGGTAACCTATCAATACTCTTCATCAGTGTCCTCTCAAATGAATATTTAAGGGCTGACACTCTGTAATCACCACATTAAGCCATTTACTACTTCTAGTCTCTCCTTCTCTGTTTTATCTTCTACATCTCCCCCAAATCTATGTTACTCTCTGCTCAAACAAACTGACTTGCCTTGGTTCCCAATTGTTAACTCTAGCATGACACAGAGGACCTTCCCTGCCTGGCCCATCTCTGTCTCCCAGCTGGGTTCCCCACCCCATGGCTATAAACCCTGGAGTGGAATAAAAGGCAGCTGAGAAAGATAAAAAGAGACTGTGCCCTCTGCTCCTCTTTGAACTAGTAGAGGAGTGTCTAGGAAAAGTTACTTCTCCACTGATAGATGAGATGATTAAAGAGGGCTGCGAATTATCCCTTCTGGTTGCTTGCTTCCTGTGCCTAGCATGTTCACATCATGGTCCATGTGTACAAATGTGTACCCATACACCCTTCCATTTG